CTGGCCCCCGCTCGGGGCACGTCTTCCCTGTGGTCTAGGCAGAGGGCCAGGGGGACTCTCCAAGACTTCCAACCCCGGCTGACACAGCGCTCGCCTCAAACCTAAACTTGGCCTCAAAATCGAAATTGGGATTTAATACCGACTTTGACTCTAACCCAAATTTAACCTCAACCCAAATCACAGCTCAAACCCAACCCTAACATCAAATCTAAACACATCTCAATAAATGAACCCCAAACTGATTCTCTAAACTAACCCAACCTTGTCTCTAGAGCTAATCTTGAAACCAGCTGCCACCATGCCCAACCCTATGGTTAAGCCTGACTCTAAGTGCAGACCCAGCCTGCGCCACAAAGCTAGAGTGAGATTTAGCCTGCTTTGCCTGCGGTTCCTCCCTCCCTCCACGGAGTCCGGGCGCTCCTGTGGGCGGAGGGGCGCAGTGGCGGCCAGTCAGACAGGCCCCGCTCCTGGAGCGCACAGCCCAGTGAGGGGAGGCGAGGCGAGGCGCAGGAAGCGCCGAGGAGGGATCACGGCCGAGGAGGGATAGGCCAGGAGCACTGCGAGAAGGCGGCCAGCGGCCTGACAAGGGGCAGGGAGCTCCGCTAGACAGGTCAGGAAGGGCCTCTCTGTAGGTGGCATTTAAGCTGAGACCCAAATGCCAAGAGTGACCAGGTGAAGTTTGGAGGAAAAGCATTCCAGGCAAAGGGGCCAGCTTCTGCAAAGTCCAGGAGGTGGGCGCCGGAGGGTGCTGCGGAGGAACAGAAGGGAGCTGGTGTGGCTGGAGCAGAGAGGAAGGGGAGGGGCTGGGAGATGCAGTGGGAGGGAGAGGGGAGAGCGGGCCCAGATCACGCACAGGGGCCAGGCGAGCAGGGTAAAGCATCTGGGTTTAGTCAACCGTGGGACGCTTTGGAGGATTCAGTGTGGGTATGCAAGATACAGAGAGAGAAAGGCGCAGTGAGATGTGAGGTGGAGGTGATTGGACTTATGTTTTTAAAAGATCCCCGTGGCCCCTCGGTTTAGACTGGATCACAGGAGGCAGCACTGAGAGCAGGAACACCGGTTAGGAGGCAGTTGCTGCAATCCTGGAGAGAAGATGGTGGCAGCCATGAAGATGGAGAAAAGCAGGCAAATTTGGGATATATTTCAGGGGTAGAATTGACAGGATGGATCAGATGGATGGCCAGGTGGGGGTGACGATGGGGAGACTGGGCGAGTGCAGGCTCCTGAGGTGGGAGACCCGGGAGCCTGAGGTTGGATCTGTCTGAATCGATTGGACAGACGTCCAAGTGGAGATGTCACTTGGCAGTGGCTATGATCCTGGGCCGCACAGGCCAGGTCAGAGGCAGAGGCAACACTGGGCACTGTCCCGTGGAGCCGGGGTGCCGCCTGTGCACCCCAGACCTTCCCTTCCTCCCGACTCAGACGCACTCCTCCTGCCAAGGCGGACCCTTCGGCTGTCCCCCACTTCCTCTCACCCGACCCCTTCTCCCTCTGAGGTTTTCTCTTTTCTTGCTCCTCTTCATTTTACAAAATTTTTTTTTCTTGAAAATAAAAAAATCCTTCCCGACTCTCTTTCTCCCTTCCATCTCTCACCTTCCTTTTCTGTGTGACGTCTCGAGAGACATCTCACCACCCTAACCAGCCACTTTTTCGGGAACTGGTAGAATTTCCCTCATCGGTAAAACCTGTGGGTTGAACTAGAGACAGTTCTTAGTTTCTTCCGTATTCGCCATTCTCTGACTTTGTACCCACCACCTCCCTTTCCTCACCTCCTACTCATGCCTCGGCCCATGTAAGGTGACTTCTGCCCCTCTGGTAAGTGGAAACTATCTTCTCAAAATCTGTAATCACCTAGGCCCTGAGCCTAAACCATCTTTTCAGCCCTCCCGACCCGACCTCTTTGAAGCACCAGAGGTGCCTCTCTCCCGCTTGGCTCCCCTCTGACCGTCCTCATGCTCGGCCGCTCGCCCTCTCTTTGGGGATCCTGTCCACTCAGAGTTCAACCTCCACGGAGAGGAGTGACCCCCAAATCGATTCCTCCGGCCCAACGCCCCGGGGCTGCATCGCTGCTGGCTGCAAACCTCCACCTGCCGGGCCAGGGCCTCCTCCCCGCACCCCCCGTCCGCGCAGCGCACCTCCCATTACTGCGTGGTCGTTCCGTGTACACGTGTAGTGTGTGTTGCAGTAGACGGCACGTGCTGAGGGCAGTGGCTTTATCTCACTTACGCCCACTGTCTAGCAGAGCACCTGGCTCCCACCGGCAGCTGGATAAAAACGTACTGATTGCGTCTGAAATGGACTCACCTTCCCCACCGCCACGCATCTCCTTTGTTCAGGGCATTTTCACCTTTCCGATCCCCTAAGCTCAAAACCTGGAGTCATCTGAGACTCCTCTTCCCTCACTGGTACCACCCAATCCGTTGTCTTGTCTTGACATCCTCCTGAAGTTTATAAACTCTGTTCCCTCTTTTAATACCATCTGCAGTGTTGGGACCTACGGAGTTTGTACACGCGTCTTATTGCCACAGGTGAGCCTGACGAGGATGCCATCACTCTTTAGCTGTGAGCCTCGTCTCCTCATCTGCACATGGAGACCCACCCGCCTCACTGACGCCGCTGGCAGGATTACTGGAGTTAGGAAAGGAACCTGGTCATACATAGTAGGTGTTCAAACATCACCTTCTTCTTCCCATGGCGTGTGCACAGCAGGTCGCAGCGCCACTGCCCCGGACGCAGCCCGAGCCCTCTGCTGGCATCTCGGCATGCCAACGCCGTGCCCGCCGCCAACACCCGCTCCCTCGCTCCTGGGCTTCCTCGCCCGCACGCTCTTTTCCTCAACATACTCTGCTTTGGACGCCCGGCCTCTGCTCAAGTCATTTCCCTGACCTCTGGTGCCCCCACTCACCACACACAGAAACGCTACCCATTGGCCAGCGCCAGCTCACATGCCCGCCCTCCTCACCCACCCGCCGCCTTCCCCTCGGCTCACACTGCCGCTGCTGGGGTCTCTCAGGCTACTTGCTGTGCGGCTGGGTAGTCCTTCAGGCCCTTTTCCTAACTCAACCCAGACCTGACTGGACCCCAAACCCCAAACAGACCTTCCACCTCACCAGTCTCGTTCCCAACCCTGTTTCTCTAATGAAACCCAGACACCTTCCCGGAGACCCGATTCCTGGCCCCATCTCCGGGGACACGCGCTCTCCCTCACGGGAGGCAGAGTCACCCCGGGATGCCTGGGCCCCTCCCTGCCCCCACCTGGTGGACAGGAAGCCCGCCGCCTGGCCCAGGAGGTCAGAGGAAGCAGGGCCTCTGAGCTCAGTATTTTTATCAGCCTAGGAAAAAGAGACACTGAAGCGGAAACCATGTGGTCAGAGAAAGTGAACAGCCCTCATCTCAGGGGAACCCCCAACAGGGCTGGGGGCCAGACACAGGGAGGGACACTGGAAAGAGGGGGGCCTGGGGGCCGGGAGCAGGCCGTGTTGGGCTGTGGTTAATGTAACTTTTGCAAAGGGCCAGCGATGTGCTTAAAAACCGGAGGAAAACCTGGATGGAGGAGCAGATTTGGACACCAGTTCCCTGATGCTCACCTGTCAGCTCCCAGTCGACCGTCACCCCACGCCCCCCCAACCTGAGCTCTTGCATGCACTTCCGAAACCCCCAGCTGTGAGCGGAACCGGACGCCTGGGTTGCTCACAGCCTGTCTCTTCTCTGAATCACAGCAGCTTCCTCTCACAGCCCTTCCTCTTCCTGCCCCACATCTGGCCGGTGCCTCAAGGCCTTGGGCCTCTTGGCTCTGTCTCCCCGGGGTCTCGCGCTCACCCCACATTCCCATGCCACGTTCTGAGGCTGCCCCTTCCCTCCTCCAAGGCCTCCCCTTCTACTCCCGGCTTCTCCCACCTGCCGCGGAGACTGGGGCTCCCAACCTGAAAGATAAGCTTGATGCATAAGCGCCCTGAAGCAGACAAGTGCCCACGGCACTGGCCACCCTGCCTGTGCTGCCGGCCTGCCCTTTCTTCTCACTTCACTGCTGTGCCTGGGGTGGGGGGTGGCCATGGGGTCGGTGCTGTCTAGTCCCACACCAGTCCAGGGGCTGGGAGCTGAGCATGAACAGCGGGAGGGGTGGCGCCCCGTCCTCCGCGGAACCCCAGGCCTTCTCCCTCCACCCTCAGGATGTTTCTCTGGAGGCCAGGCCTGGCTGCCCAGCGATGGAACCCGGGCTTCATGGGAGCAGAAGCTATGGAGGGAGCTGAGGCTTGAGCTGTCGAACTAACTCAACGTGTTTGGAGGCTTTGGCTAGAAATACACGATAAAGATTTATTCACAGGTTTGCAAACTGGAAGCATAACTAGGCAAAACCCCAGAAGTGTTTCCGAGTAAGAAGGAAAGTTAAGCATCCTCCTCTTGAGAATGGTCGGTCCTGCAGGCTCAGCCAGGACCCACCGTCCAGGATGGCGCCCAGTCAGACCCAGGTGGTCTGGTCACACCGTGTCTGGGTGATGGATGTCAGGTGAAGGCGTAGTGAGGCCTTCAGGGGTGATCGGGGGTATCAGAGGCACTGACACAGGCCGGGAAAATTCCCAAGTTTAAGTTCCCAGCTGGTTAATGAGCACAGAGTCGTTCCTCGGGCCTCAACCAACTTGGCTTTAGTGACTGAGCAGCTTGACTAGAGTGAGTCCATGTCACTCCTTCACTCGCCGCGGGTGTGGGTCCCTGGTTGCCCAAGAACAGACAACCCAGGTTACATAATTTGGCTCTTTCCGCCTACTTCCCCTGGTCCTAATTTTAGTAACCGAAATTCCACTCCCCCACTGGGCTCCTCCTCCATCCTGCTCCTGCCCCGACCCGACCTCTCACAACCTCCTCGTGGCCCCCAGCTCCGCTGCCCCCCACTTGGACCATTCAGTGACTCAGCAAAGGGAAAGCCCTGTCTGCTGGGGAGGCAATGAGTGGGGAGGAGGATGTGGTTCTGGTGGGGGCTGGGGAGGGAGGGAAACTAGTTTTGTTCCCTTTTTTGGCCGGTGTTCACATTCATCTCTTGGGCCCCCAATTACCGAGGGGAGCCCGGCATAGGGAGAGAGAGAGACGGGAGGGCGCACTGGCCCGCTCAGGGCCAGCCTGCGAATGGGCCGGCAGCAGGCCTGTAGCGTCCAGTGCAGGCGCGGCCGTGTGCGTGCGGGCCACAGGTGGGTAGAGCTGTGGGTTCGGCAGACGGGGCGGGAAAGATGTCATGGGCGATGAAAACCACCGCAGTGGAAAAAGGCAGGGCCCTGGGAGTGAGACGTGGAACCAGGTCCTATTAGGAAGTGGGCAGAGTCAAGGAGCAGTGCCCGGTGGCTGCCCTCCCCACCCCCGCTCATCACAAGTTTCGCTCCCACCCCACATCCTCTGCTGCACAGTGCCCGGTCCTGCCTCGTCCTCGTAACCCCCACCTCTGATCATGCCCTTCCTGCCGCCCTGTCTCGAAGCCTGCGTTCCCTGCAGCTCCTCCTGCTGTCCCTGGGGTCACTTGAGGGCCTCTGCCCGGCGATTCAGGGCCTGAGAAAGGGCTGTCACCGCTCCCATCACACGGCCTAGCTCCCAGGTCTCAATCTGGCTCCCGAACCGCTGTAGGAAGCGGTCCGGGTGCCAGCGAACCTGCTGGACCCTCAAGTACCTCCTCAGAGCCTCTTGCTCCTCCAAGGGGGGACCCCTGGCCACCAGGGCTGCCGCCATGGCCTCCGGGTCCCCTCCCCCAGGGCAGGGCCAGGGCACGTCATTGAAGCGCCAGAGGTTGCCCCTCCCTGCTCCCCTGGGTGGCTGGGCCCTGTGAGCCTCCTGCGCCTGCTCCTGCGCCCGCCTGGCTCTGCTCTCCCGCAGTTCCTCCTCCTTGGCCCTGGCCCGCTCTTGGAAGAGTCTCCGCTCCTCCTCCTGCCGCCGCCAGCTGAGACTGGAGCCCTCAGCCCGGGTGGTGGGCCGGTGGGCTCCCTTTGCCTTGCGCTGCTGCTGGCACTTCTGGGCGTGCTCCCGGGCCAGGCGATCTGACCAGGCTGAGAAGGACTCGGGTTCCTGGGCCTCATAGTCTGTTTGGGAGGGGGCACAGGGGTGGTCGGGGAGAGGCCATGAGGTCACAGGGCAAGAGAAGCGGGCGGCACAGGGGACGCGGTGCAGGAGGGGTGCAGGCAAAGCAGCAGCTGGGAAGGGCAGCTGTTGGGGAACGGACTCCTCACCTTCCAGCCGCCCGGTGGCCTCCTGCCACTCGTCCTCCAGCTCTCCCAGCAGCTTCTGCCTCCACTGGTGCTCCCTGGACGCCTCGTCGTCCTCCTCCTCTTCGGCAGAATCCCAGGGGGGTCCCCAGCCCAGAATTTGCCCAGGGGTCTCCCCATCCTTGTTCTTCATTCCCATGGCAGAGGGACAGCGGCGCAGCAGCGGCAGGAAGAAGTCCGTGTAGGCTGTTGGCGGGAGGGGGGGGTTAGCTGGGCCTCCTTGGCAGGGCGCATCTGGGGTCCTGCCGGCACGCACACCCTCGTCTGCCCACCTAGACCTGACACACACTTACTGACCGTTTACCGCAGTTTAAAATATTCTGACCTGTGTCCCCATGAACTACTTTATGTTTTCAGTCTGCCTCCCGCCACCCGGGGCAACGTCAGAAACCTCTGGCTATGGATTCCAGTTTGGGCTGGAAAATATTGTCACGTTAGCCCAGCCGGCGTGGCTCAGTGGTTGAGTGTCGACCTATGAACCAGTCAGTTTGATTCCCAGTCAGGGCACATGCCCAGGTTATGGGCTCGATCCGCAGTGTGAGGCATGCAGGAGGCAGCCGATCAACGATTCTCTCATCATTGATGTTTCTATCTCTCTCTGAGATAAAAGAAAATATTGTTACCTTATACCTCTTCCTGTGTTTCTCACCCCACATTATACTTCAGATTGGTAAGATATTTGAACATTCTACTCTACCATTATAAATATGCAAATATCGAATAGGTATCTTTTTATATTACTTTCAATAAACTGGATAAAATAAGTGTTTTTAGGGGAATTTCCCTCAGCCAGCCTTCCCCAGAGCATGCTGGGAGGGGTGGAGGTCGAGGGCCAGATCAGCAGAGTTTGAACCAGAGAAATGCTCCAAGCAACCAGCAAGCTCTTTCCAATGACTGCTGGCCTAGGGGAGGGGAGAGGGCTGAGAGGGGGTTCCACCCAGGAACCCTCCTTCCTGAGTCCTGACTTCGCTGCATTGGCTCCAGAGTGGCCATGCGCCAGGGCCGTGCTGCTCACTTCACTGCCCACCCAGGCCCCGAAGCACCTCGCTCCTGGGACCAGGAGGGTGCGTGAAGCTCTCTCGCTGTGGCCTGCTTCCTCTCGCCAGGGCAGGAGGAGGTGGCTGGCGGCCCTTCCATCTTTACTCTGTGGCACTGGCTATCTAGGAAAAGCACGGGTCAGGAGAAGGGGTGCTCCCATTGCCAGGGAGGCAGGGAGACAGGACGGGCCCAGCCTTGGCCAGCCAAGGCCCGCGGCCCCCACGCATCTCCTGGCACACTCGAGTACCCCCGACTCCAGACCCCGTCCGGACCAGGCCTCACGGCAGGGGGAGGGGGCAGGTGCTCAGGCTCGGACGGGAAGGTTTTAGGTTCATAGGTTTTAAGGAGTAAGGCTTCCAACCATAAAATGTAAGTAAAATGTGACACAGGATATTAACTAGTAACCAAGCACGATGTTTGTGTGTGGAAAGCTGGCTACAAAACTGTACATGGGACCGGACTGCAATGGTGTGGAAAGACAGCAAGTGCTCTGGCTGGAGAAGGTGTAGAAATATAAGGCTCCGGCCTCTGGGTGGAAGGACTATGGGTGGCTCCCCCACTCCCACTTGACATTTTAAAGCGCATGGATGTAACTAACGGTGAGTCCCTTTCCTCTGAAAGAATGAAGAATAAATGTCATCGCTCTTCCCACTTTGCCACTGTCTTTTCCAGCCCCATCTGGGTGATATAAACGCACAGAGCTGACAATTTCTGTCAGTGATACATGACCGCACTGCGTGTGTTATTTGGCAACTTGCTCTTTTCACTTAACGTCTACTTATATTTTCCACAGGAGTAACACGCTGGCCTCCTTTTTCATGACTGCGCGGCGTTTCACTGCGCGGAACAAACTCACCCCCTCTCCCCGCAGGCGACAGACTTTGTTTCCAAACTGTTTGGCTTCCTACCTGTCTCTGTGGGCTCCCTGTGGTATTTCTGCGGGGTTGCTTTTCAGAAGTGGAATCTCTGAGTCAAAGAACATGGGAGGTTTTGCCAAACAGCTCTCTTTTGTGCCAATATACAACCCTATGGAAATCTGCGTCGTCCTTTACCAAAATTTAGTCTCATCAACCTTTTAATTTGGCCCATCTGACAGATTAAAAAAAGATTTTAATTATGAAATTTTCTTTTTCATATGCTTTTTGGCTCTTTGTGTTTCTGTTGTGAATGACCTGATCTTATTCATCTACTTTTCCCTCGGAAACGATAATGTAGAGATGACAGCCCTTTATATAGTACAGAGATCAACCCTGTGTCTGTGTTACATGTATTGTCGGCATTTTCTCCCATTCCAACAAGTTTTTGCCAGGGTGCTAAGTGGCTGGGTGCCGACCTATGAACCAGGAGGTCATGGTTCGATTCCTGGTCGGGGCACAGGCCTGGGTTGTAGGCTTGATCTCCAGTGGCAAGGGGGAGGGGGAGATGTGAAGGAGGCAGCCGATGGATGATTCTCTCATTATTGATGTTTCGACCTCTCTTTCCCTCTCCCTTCCTCTCTGAAATCAATAAAAATATATTTGTAAAAAAAGTTTGATGTAGTTAAATCTGCATCAATAGCTTTTGACTTTATTTCATTCTTAGGAAGGTTTTCTTCACTCCAAGATTATAAAATGATTCCCCTGTGTTTTTCTACTATATTTACTTTTATTTTTAGAAACCTAAAAAATTCAAAAAAAGTAGAAAGTATAGTACAATAAATACCTCTATTCCTATCACAGGGTATGTTAACATATTGTCATTTTTGCAACATCATTTCGTTTTAAAGAAATAAAACCATCATAGATAAAGTAAATTTTTCTTCAATGCTGCCTTCTAAGTTTTATTCCCCCAGGGAACCCCTCCTATGAATTTGGTATGTGCCCTTCCTGTCATATTTAGGTGAGCTGCGGGTCCCTCACGTAACTTACTTTTACGTCAGGAATGAGGGAGGACTCTGCTTTTCCCTGGATGAAGCAAATGCTCTGATATCATTTGTTAAACAGCTCACCTTTCTCCGGTGACGTGGAATGCCAACTTTACCATCAGTTTAGCATATGGATCAACTTTTCCCAGTGTGCTTTTCTACTGGGAAAAACAGATATGAAAAACATTTTGGAGTAAAAATAGACTTTGTCTTAGTGATGCCAGCACTGCTTTTCTCCTCCCCATAAGATGATTTCTACCTTAAAGCAAAGTTCACACTAACTGGTACAACTCACTGAAAAAAACACTAGTATCAGAAGCTTATGTTGAGGACAACTGACTGAGGAAGGCACAGAGGAAGAAAAGGTCATGGTGGGCAGGGTGGTCCAAGAGGGCTTCCAGGCGGAGGTGGCTTATGTTGGTCTGGGAAGGGAGAGTAATTTAGCAAAGCAGAAATCAGGCAGACGGGAAAGCAACAGGCAAGAGAGAGGCGGGCTTGTGAAAAACATGCTGGGGGACACTGGAGACAGAGCCTCGCGGGGAGCTGCAGCTTTTGGGTGAGCCGTGGAGGTCAGGCTGGAAAGGCAAATGGAACACAGCCACCTGTGAACAGGGCCACAGACTACTTCTGCGGTGCAGATCGAGTGGTAACGGACAGTGAATGTCTGGCACACAGCGGAAGTGCAGTGAATGTCATATTAAAAATAATATATCCGAAAAAGTATCAGGATGGCTCTCAATTTTATTCTTTTTGCAAAGACTGTGAGAAAAACAACCCCATTTCTCAGTGTTCGATAATTCTTGCTGTATGCAGAGAATGGTTACTGTCAGACTGAGGTGTGTGTACACAGGGGTCTCTGACAGCTGAGATAACTTCCCCACGAGGTGATGGGTCCGAAGAGAAGTTACCAAAAGCCCAAGGTAGGGGCGATTTACCAGCATGTCACTGGGTGTGACAACCCAGCCCAGCCAACCCAGCAGAACAGGCAAGTCCATCGGGCCTGGGCCTGCCTGGGAGCTGAGGGGAATGCACCTCCTCAGTGATCCAAGATCTTTTCATCAGCTCAAAGAGAACATTTGCATTTAAGGCACAGTGGTTTCTAAAGCAGCTGGAGACGAAGAAGACAGGCCTTCCTACCCAGGAGTTAGAAGGCCCCCTGGTGGCGACTGGCAGGGACTGGGAGGAAGGAAGGGCTTGGGTGTGACCTGAGCTGGATCCCCCTTGGGAAGAAAGTTCCTGAACCACGGGGCAGGTGGGGTTCAGTGGTTGAGGGTCCACCGATGAACCAGGAGGTCCCGGTTCGATTCCCAGTCAGGACACATGCCCAGGTTTCGGGCTCAATCCCCAGTGTGGGGTGTGCAGAAAGCAGTAGATCAATGGTTCTTTCTCATCACTGATGTTTCTCTCTCTCTCTCCTTTCCTCTCTGAAATCAATAAAAATATATTAAAAAAAATAAAGTTCCTGAACTTTCTAGGCCCTCCTTTCCTCACCTGTGAGATAATAATATCAATCTTGCTGGCTTCTTGGGATTTAATACAATGAAGAAAGCACTTACCATGAAGAATATTTTTATTATTCAAATAGCCTTAATTAAGTAATATCAGAATAGAACACTACTTCTCATTGAGTTAGTGCTAAACTGTACCAAGTGCCTGCCTCTTAACTCTCACAACCTGCATTTTAGAGGCACATCAGGTCACAGAGGGTGAGCTGCGGGTCCCTCACCCAGCCCAGCCCAGTACCCCAGTGGCCAGGCTGGAACCTGGGTGAGGGCTCAGCTTTTGCCACCTGCAATGTCAGTTGTTCAGTCAGCCATCTGCACTTTGCAAACCTCCTTTCTTTGTTTTTAAGTTTACAACCTCCCCACGTGCTGGCCTATCTCACTGATGTTAAGAAACATTAAAGAAAGGGGGAACGTTTCTTTACTATTAGGGAAGGTGTAGGGGTGGAGATGGGTTCCTATGCTTGGGGCACTGGGGGAGCAATCAAACTGAATGAAGGGTGCTCATCCCAACCTAGAGGTTCTCCTCAGATGTACTTACTCCCGAAGGAAAATCTCCTGAGGGCAAATCCCGTCGAGCGTGCCTCCACTGCCCACAGAATCCACAGGCCCGCACGGAAAGCA